TCGGTCCCACGAATGGTAAATAATCGCGCAATACTAGCGTCACTCGCTCTTTCGTGATGTTTCGCGCGTCCTTGACACGTTTTCACTTTTCTCTTTCCTTATGTACAACACGGTATCTTTGGATTTTTATAATTCTTTTGAAATCGCGGTTTTTCAACGTGCTCATGTCTTAATTGAAATTTCGAAGGGAATTAGCGTGGTTGGGATTGGCTTTAGTTGAAAATGTTATAAGACATTTTTTAGGGGAAATTTCGTCAGCAACAAAAAATGTATTAACATGTTTTACACTAGATGACATAATTAAGGAGATAATCAACAATTAACGTGACTTCTATGGTTTTTCTATGATTTCAATGTTTCTTTTTCATCTTCAACATTCAAAGGCATTTACCTTCTTAAGGGTTGATTCTGCGAAAAAATTTCATACAACATTTTTTATGGGAAATTTCATCAGCTACGGAAAAAGTTTAGACCCATTTTCTCCTACAATCAATAATTTCCGAGATATTCAATAATTAGTGGAGCCCATTTTTTTTCGAACGTCTTTTTCTTCTCACCAACTTTTATTTCACTGGAATATTCCGTTACCCATAAAAATGTCAGTGTTGTTCCACGATTGCCCCCCGAAAATAGTAACACATTAAGCAAAAGCGTGAGGAGCTGAAAAAAATCGATAGCATAATTTTCTTGCTCATCAATCCGTTGTTGTTTCTCCTCTCTCGCTTTCGCCTCGAAGGAAGTGGGCGTACGAGGTCACATACCACGTATTTACGCTTTGTGTGTACACTGTCCTCCTTTATTTTTTTCTATATTCATCTTTTTTATTTCTTTCCTGTCGTGTACCGAACGACAATGGACGCCCCGGCGACGTTTCGACGGGCTTCACGGGGGCGCGATTCATACGTTCTCAGAGGAAAATAGGTCAGGGACGATTTTGTCGGATGTACTGGAACAATTTTTCTCATCTTTCTTCGGGGGTGAAAATTCTACCTGTGGGAAATGGCCTTGGGACTTCATTATTTTCGGGTTTTACACGGTTAACATCATTGACCTGAATTATTTTTCGCTCTCTGGGTCTGAGAATTCTCCATTCCACGGGAATATTCGTTTTCTCAACAAAAAAATTTTACCTTTTCACATTTTTTCGTGTCTCCAACAATTTTTATTCAAAAAAAAATTTTTAATCTAAAGAACTTTTGATCTAAAAAATTTGAAAATTATTTTGAAAGGTAGTTGTTGGACATACGCCCAAAATGTCCGGACACAAAAACCTCCTCGTAAAAAAAAAGTTTGTCTTTTGACATTTTCTCCCATCTCCATCCGCCCTCTCGCAAATTAAAATCATTCCCCGATGCACATCCCCATGCACCAGATGCAGTGTCTGCCACATGCGTGCACGCGCGTGCGCTAAAAATTCACTCTCGAGCGAGCCCACTCTCGATTTCGTCAACCGGAAGTGGGTCACGTGAGTCTTATGCATGAATTCATGACACTTGTCTGTTTTATCCAGCGTTGATAACGCGAGCTCCATTGTTTCAAGGTCCGAGTGAAAAATACCCCCTCAACGACGCCATCATTATCAACACTCTCCTCTTCTCCTCATTCCGTAAAATTTCACTCCCACCCCCTCCACTTATTTTATTATTCCGGGACAGGTATGCACACGTTTATGACCCGTCGACACTGGGACAAGTGTGCGATGATGTGATGTCACATAGAAAGAGAGAGTCTCGTTACCGTTACGCAATGTACACTCGCGTGTGTACACGGAGAAAGTTGCGTGGTCCGGCGCTGACCTTACGTACTAAATGTGCAGCAGATGTTTTTCCGCCGCAATACCCCCAAAAAATTGTGAAAATTCCCATGGTTGAAAAAATTTATTGATCCAACTTTTACTGGTGTGAAAGGGGCGTTTTTAATTATTTTCAATTAATTCACATTTGTTGGAAAAACGATCATTGCAATTGAGAATTTTTTTTGAGGCTCGTAAGGGTCAAAGGACCCTTGGAGACGTAAGGTTAAGGGTCTTAAGGGCCTTAATTTAATCGTCCTCAGGTCCTCAAGGGTCAAACAAACCTTTTTTTATCATTTTTGATGATCGCTTTGAACACTAGATGTGCTGAAGGGTCGTTTGACCCTCACCCTGAACGTCCTTAAGGGCCCTTTGACCCACAAAACCATTTTGACCCTCAATCCTAAACGTCTTTAAATGTTTTTTGCCCCTGCCGACGTTTTGACCTTCATCTCTAAACGTTCTCAAGGGCCTGTTGACCTTCTCAACGTTCTCAAGGGTCGATTGACCCTCCAGACCCTTGCGACCCTCAATTCTACCCGTCTTTAAAGGTTTTTTGACCCGAACGACCGCTTGATCTTTAACTCTAGACGTCCTCAAGAGCCTGTTGACCTTCTCAACCTTCTCAAGCGTCGTTTAACCCTCAGGACCCTCACCGAAAGAAAAATTCCTAAATTTCACCAAAACCTCATCTCCCCAGGTGTTTCATTTTGCCCCTATAAATTTCAAAACCCGTCACACCCGCAAAACCGGAAGCACCTAGCATTTTCCACCCACTATTTGCAATTTAACTTGCAAACGAATATAAACATCAACCACTAGGAAGTGAAACTTCCCGCTTATTACGTTTGAAATAGGAACGCTTGTCCCGAGAGTCGGTCGATGCGGCTAGACGCCCACCCACTCTCTTTCTCTATCCATCTCCCTTCCACTTTCCTCTCGTTTGTCGTTGTGTGAATGAAGGTCACCCAAGGTTAGCCTCACCAACAAAAAAAACCACTCCAATGTTCCATATTTCGTTGTTATTCTCACAGACAATCGTGTGTTTATTTTCATTATCTCCGAGTTGAACAACAACCGAAAATAATGCACAAGCCAACGCTTAATCGTTTCCGTCATTGCGCATTTCCCGGCAGAAAATACGTTAAATACTCGTCATTCATTTCATTTTTTTTTTTTTGCAACTTGAATGAAACCGAAAGTAACGAATTCATCACAATCAACTCGAAGAACAATGCAACTCACCCCAGAGCCATGTTAACCTCGTTCAATACATTAATTGAAAGAAACGTTGAACCTCATCATTACATATCCAGGAAGAGAGAGGTACATCCCGCCCCGCATTATCCTTTGCGAAATACACCAGGTGCACTTAATGTAAAATACCGACCATGAGAGCTTTTTTTCGCATTCGTGACGTACGTTGTTATTACCCCTCTGTGTCGAACAGTTTCATACACATCATATTCAACTGACAATAGTAACGTATGCAAGTGTGGGCCGGTGGCGTCTGTCGAAAGAGAGAAAAAAAGGAAATATGGAAAAATGAAGAGAACGAAAAGGTCGGAAATCATCTAAAATGCACCCCTTTTCGGGCTCTCATCGCCGGAGGGAAAGTGATAGCACCCCCTCGATTCTTAATAATTCGTTCGAAACTTTCTATTTGTTCGTAAATCCATCGCAAGGTGAAAAAAAATGAAGGATCAATATTCATGAAGAATTTACAATTTCGCACGTTTAGTTTTTTTGTTTTCAACTTTTCATGAGTCCATTTTTCCCTGGAATATTTGAATAAGTAATGATCGGCGAGGAAAAACAATCTCGAGCGAAAGGTTCAGACTCGAACGATGACTGTTATGAGCCACCGAAATATAACCGATCGATATCGTTTGCTGGTTGTAAAATAATGATGATCCCATCACCGTCGACAAATTCGGAAAATTTCGAGTTGTGATTCAATTCAGAACTGGAAATACCTTATGTCAGACGAGCTGAGGAGAAGCCACTGGGTTTGAATCGATTATCGGAGTTTAACCCGATATCGGACACTCGCAGAAGCACTTGGGTCTCCCCTGGCTGTTCCTTTTTCGTCTCTTTGTCATGAATACAGTATTCTGTTACGATGGCTTGCTGTCAGACAAGTGAATCAGAGGAGGAATCCAGGGACTTACGCCCTTCTGGTGGGCGCGGATCGTGGGGAGCGAGGGGTGAAGGCTCAGGGCTTCCCAGGCTCATCAACTTGCCCCTTCCTGTTATCAGTGTTGACCCTTGTGATCTTGATGGCGACAATTTGTACATTCGCACGTGTCGGATCTGTTCTATTTCATTGAAATGGTTGTGTAGTTGAGTTGAGGTACTTTGAACGGCTCAAAATTGATGATAAAGGATGGGTATGACCTGTCTTCGTGTTGTTTGAGTCTAGAAAAGTTGCCAAGTTTAGAAAGACGTGCTGTCTAAGTTCGCTTGTCTTATCTATCGAATCTTACAGCAAGTCTTCCACCCAAATTTTGTAAGCAATCAATTCTCAATATTAGTTAAATTAATTACGTAGTTGATAGAAGGTGAAAATGAATGATAAAGTATAGAAAATCTGCCTCTTACGTTCATTCGTTCAATCCATTTAACATATCCATCAAAAAGATTATGTAACTGATTCGAGATGCTTTAGACAGATCAGAATAGCTGATCCGTGAGCTGTCGTCAACTAGAAAAAAATTTTCGAAGTTCAGGAAGACGAGTTAGCTTGTCCCATCCCCAAGTCTTACACTCCAGTCTTGGATTTTCCAGTCAAATGATTTTCCTTTCCACGGTTTATCATGCCTCGTCGAGAAATTGCTTAATGAACCTGACGGTGGCACTAGGCCTGTGCCTGAAAGGAAGGTAGAAACGTTGCAGTGGGTCAAGGAGAGTCTACCCGCGGCTTTCACTTCCTCTCGACACACCGCCAACAACCAACCAATTGCCATACATATTCCATGTTATTGCGCGTGTTAGAGCGACAGGAACTCGGGCTTTTCAATTCTCATTTTATTTCACGGTTTCTTTTTCCCTTGTTGAGTAATTTCTACAGTGGATTTTGCTTGTGGGAATCTTCGGTTATGCCCTTTGAGCAGAACATGCATTTAACATGAGTTACAATGATGAAATCGAAACTGTTCCTTTTTCCTGAATGAAGAGTCATTTGGTGTTTTGATTTTTATGATTACAGTGGATACGCGGGAGGTCCAGCCACATGATACGAATGGAGATAAGGAGTCGTTGGGACTGGCAACAGTGAAAGCTGAACCTGGCAGCACAACAGGAGCTAGATTACTTCATGGAATATTGTCTCAACATCCACAACAGCATCTTGGGGTACAGAGTGGTTATGGGAGACATCTGTCGAGTCATGGACAGCTTGGACAACCACCTTACAGCTCAAATGGAATTGCCAATAGTACGCCAGGTGAATATATGGACAATTTGTTGAAATGTCTGCAGCTCTGTTGATTTCTATAGATCTATCTCTCTAAAGATTCCAAAATGTTTTCTAAATTTGATCTGTTCGAAAGCGGAACTTACTCAACTTGTTGGCACGAGCAATATTTCGATCTAGCATCTACAAAAATTAACAAGTCCTCTCTGGAGACAGGTTTCAAACAATTATGAATTGATTAATGAGTGAAGCTAGCTCCTTGTAGAATTCATAAATAGCTTCTCCCAGAATGGATTCGTTCTTTTGACATCTTGACATCTTTTTGAATCAAGCAAAATTGTCAAGAGAAGCTTTCTACAGGTCTATCCATCTGAAGGCTCCAAAATATTCTTCAAATGATCTGTTAGAAAGTGGAATTGTCTCAGCTTGTTGGCACGAGCAATATTTAGATCTAGGATCTAAAAAAAATTGAGGAACTCCTCTCGCCGCAGGGCATCAATTGACTAATGATTGAAGCTAACTCCTTCGAGAATTCATAAACACCCTTTGATTCATTCTCTCGATGACTTAGCTCCCTAAGATGATTATCAAAACCGATTGAATACCCTCGCCCAAACAATGAGAAACTGAAAAATGGAGAAAGCCTTTCTGCAGACAGGTTTAAGACGGTTATGTAGACTGTTGACCGTGGGAAGACTCTGTCAATGTGCATACCAAATGACTGGATGACCTTCGCCCTCTGCATAAAGATAGGTTTAATTGAGCAGCCACGCGAAAAACACGTTACGCTGTCTCGGGCCTTCCAATCACAAGCCCCTGAGCCTCTTTTTCAAGGAGTCCATCCACCAGAGGGATGTCACATCCCCCCTCTACCTTCCACCGTCTAGCTACCTTCTTCTTTTATTTCCACCAGTCGGTGTTTTCAGTCGTACCATCCCTATTTCCTTTATACCAATGCTCGTGATGAGCATTTGTTGGTGAGGTAATGAGCCAACTGTAGACTCCTGCGTACGGATGTCTTCGGAGATTGAGAGATTAGGGCGGGTGTACGTGATGCTTAAAAATATTTCATGCACCTTTGGGCGGGTTTCGGGGGGGATTATTTTTAGATGGGACGGCTGAAGAATTGGGAATTGATGGTAATTGTTTGCGGGGAGGTGCCAATGGCTTGTGAGGTAGGAGAACATGCGAGGAAGGTAGTGCCATTAGGAGACAAAATTTCAACCGGAAAATGTTTCATGTCATTCTCTTTCGAACCCTCACCTCAGCGAGATAATCAACCATTAGTTACGGCCACTTATCGGAATTAATTTTTTTTATGAGCTCTCCTCTCGTAAAAGATTTTAATGACGAAATTTATTAATTATGTCTTCAGGGAGTGGATCACTGCCAGCGAGTCCTGCCGACAGCGGTGTGAGTGACGTAGAGTCGAGTACGTCGTCAGGTGGTAATGAAGACGCTAATCTTTTGCTCAAAGCGAGACTCAATCCAAACTCATCCCTCCAACCGAATCTCGCCTCTCACCACTCTCATTTGCCCTCAGGTATGTATCCCATTAGCATCGCAATGGATCAATTAATGAGAATATTTTTTTCCCCCCCTGTGGATAATAGCAATTGGCAGATCGGCATGCCACAGCCCAGGGGTTTATCCGTCCTCCACAGGATTCTTGCCACCCTCTTATCATCCACACCAGCACCACAACTCTCAGTACCATCCACACAGAGGTGGCTCACCTCATCATCCTCACAGTAGCCACAATATGCCGTCAACGATGGGACCACCACATCATCATCATCATCAACAAACCCAAAGTCTTCAGCATCTGCATTATCGTCAGCCACCAACGCGTAAGTTTTATTTTTTATTTAGGTGTGAATATTGCACCAGTTAAATACCGATGAAAATAACAAAAGCATTCTACCATTTAACTACCGATGAACAAAACTACAAAATCATTCTACCTCTGAACTACCGATGCACAAAACAACACAAGTATTCTAACATTTAACTACCGATGAACAAAACAACAAAATCATTCTACCTCTGAACTACCGATGAAACTATGAAAAGGGGAAAGTGGGGTAAAACAGACCGTCTGCAATCGTCGATATCTCGTGACCAAACGATGCGACTTGGAGGTCTGGTCTTATTTTGAAGATTAAAAAAATAACTTTGATATGGAAAAAATCAGGAATGTCCACTCTGCAGTTCTCGAGTTATTGACGATTAAAGAGGGTCAAGTTCACCTCACTTTTGCCTGTGAGCATTACACCATTGAGCTACCGATGAAGAAAACAACAAAATTATTCTACCTCTGAACTACCGATGAAGCAATGAATAGGGGAAAGTGGGGTAAAACAGACCGTCTGCAATCGTCGATATCTCGTGACCAAACGATGCGATTTGGACAAGTCACGTCTCATTTTAAAGCTTAAAAAATGTCTTGAATCCGAAAAAAAAATGGAAAAAATTCACTCTGCAGTTCTCAAGTTGTTGACGATTAAATAAAATCCGTTTTACCCCACTCGATTCAACGACTCGAATGCCTTTGGATAAAATTGATTTCCGAAGTCTTTTGGAAATGCCGAGCAACCCTCGATAAATTTCATCTCCCAGTCATTCTTCCTACCCATTGAAAATTGTAAACGATATTTTTCTCGGCGATTGAAAGAGAAATCGAGTAGATAGTGAAAAAAAGGGGAGAGCAATCATCTCTGGGTATGAGTGAGGGAATAGTTACTGGAAAATAAAAAGTGCATTGGGAAGGAAACGAGTGAGCTCGAGCGGGGCAGAAGAAGCCGAGGGAAGTGAATCTGGGACGACGTGCCAGAGAGTGGCAACTGGGTCACGAGCGAACGGCCGGCTGACGACGCTATACACCGTCTACTGTCAACCAATTGATATTTTTACACAAGAGATAAGTGTACGTGAATTTCGATGTCAACCAGTGCACAACGCATTTCTGGGTTTACTCGATATTATTAGTTGGAGGGGTTTTTTCTAGGGGTGACACTCTTGTTTCGGTTCGTTTGCGATAGATTGTGGGGGGGAAATTTCAACGAAAGTGAGGGAGAGGTTTCATTTCTTTGAGGGGTTTTTAGGTGACGTTTATGTTGAGAAAAATTATATTTGATGAGATTATTTATTTATTAGAAGGGAATGTTTAGAAAGGTAATTTTTGCTGGGGGGAAACGATGCGATTGGGGTAAATCAGCCCTCATTTTGAAGCTCGAAAAAAAATTTTCGAAATGAAAAAAAATCTTTTGAATTTCACTCTGTCTATCTCTACTCCCATTTCTCTCAAAAATTCTCGTAAAAATGTCCCTAGAACGCAAAATATCCATAAAATCAGGAAAAAATATCTCCAAAAATACTTCTCGTAAAAACTACTCATATTCTCGACGAATAATTCACCCCAGACAATTACCAGCCCTTCAATCACAACATAATCCCCCAAAGAAGCTGTGTGAAAATCCAATGTGGAAGCGGGACGCAAGTAAAAGTGTGCCGGATTGTATAATCGAACGTGAATAAGCAAAATATTACGCCACCGCTATTTGGTAACTACAGACCCAAGGGGACGCCCCGCTACCGCTGTGTTCCCATTGCGGATACCGACGAATGCCGAGCGTCGCCTCAACCACTGGGGTAATCTCACGCTGTGACCTGAGAATCGTGAAACAATTTAACCTGTCGAATTCCAATCGTTTCGTCATTTTTCAATTATTCGTCGGAATTATTATTTCGAAAATAAACAAAAATTTCATTGAACTCAATTCATTCAGTCTCCTCATATCATTGTGGGGGGGGAGTAAATTCGGTGGGCGCGTTTGGGACGTGGGCCCAGTGTCACAATTGCGAAATAATTTTTTTTTGCTTTCGTGAAATTTCACTTTCGTTACGTTCAACATATCGTAAGAGGATACTCGGCAGTTACTCATTTTATCGTGGATAACTGTGACATGAATTATCGATTCCTTACCCTCTGACTAAAAAAACTTTACGTATGCAGAAATAACGAACAAGTTTAACGGAACAAGTTTTCCTTTCTGGTGATAAATATTTTGCTTTTGTGGTATCGGGTGGTTCGAAGGCGCAAGTTTTTATTCGGAATCGCTTTTTTATGGGCAGCTGTAGTTCTAGATGTATTTCAATGGCTAGAGGGAATTGGTGAATTTAGTGCATTAAATAGTTTTTATAATTTTTCCAAGAGAGTTTGAGAAATAATGAAATTTGAGGACTGGAGGAAAATGGGTCGGTTTTAAGCTTCAATAACTCGAGATCGGCAGAGTGAATTCCGACATTTTTTTTTCATTTTGAAGGTTTTTTTTCAGAGTTTGAAATGAGCTTTGACTCATCGAAACCGCATCACTTGATCGGGAGATATTGACGATTGAAGAGGACCAAATTCACGTCTTTTTCCCTGCCTTTTGCTTAATCAGAACTCGTACATTAGCTTTCCCACCGATTTTTCTTGGCACGCATCGTATTTTTTCGTTCCAACAAGAAAAAATAATAAAGGAATAAATAAACTTTGAAACCGATGCCCCGGTTACCCTAGATCAAGACATTCTCCCCCTGAAACTGAATTGTTATTTATAAAATAACGAACTATGCCAAAAAATTTGTATTTCGATACTATTTTTGCAAATTGAAACATGATTTACGAGTGTATTCAATTGTAGTACTGCTGTCTAGGCGGAACGATGACGTGAGGGACGGGTAAAAATAAAGGAGATCACTCTCTCAACGCGGGACTAGACCGGGTCTAGGTCTAGGTCGACTAGGCGCGAGAAGGCGTGGCCTATTCTCCTCTTTCTCCGTCTGGCTCTTTCTATTCCACTCGGTTGATTCGCGATGGTGAATGCAAAGGTCATGCTCTAAGGGGGGGTTATTGTCTTGTTGAGGGATGTGGGGTGACAGGTTCATTGACGCGGGGAGTCGTTTTTCGGGGAATATAGCGTCGCTTCCATTAGACCCTTAAAAAAGTTCGAAAAAAATCGCGAAATTAGAAAAATCGCGAAAAAAAGAGTTTGGCATGTTTAGTTCCTGCTTGATATCTCGAAATCTGCGAGAGATACGATAATTTTTGTAAGAACCTTTTTGGTAGCTTATGAAATTCCCTATAAAAAAGGTTCTCACGAAAATTGTCGTATCTCTCACAGATCTCGAGATATCCGCCAAAAATCAGAAGATAAAATGAAAAAAAATAAATTGTCTTCAACTTTCGATTCTCAATTTTAATAGAATACTTGGCACCTGGCGTAAAAATGTATTTTTGATTATTTACCACTGCATCATCATGACAAATATAAACTATCCGACATTATCATCTATTTCGAGGGTTTCGCGAAAAAAAATCTGCATAAATCTTCGAAAACTACTTTCTAATTTCAACTTCAACAAAATAAAACATTCGTATCACTCCTCCATTCAAATTAACCGTCATTTCAATTTTCGCGCTGTATGCAGACACCAACAGCGGTTTTAATAAAAAAATATGGTTCAATATAATGAAAGTGAGGCCTGCCGTCGGCTAGTCAGACAAGCCAACGCGTCCTTCCTGGGTCTCTGCCCCTGCCACCATCGTATATCGTCGTATTGTATATTTGTACACATTATCAGGCCTAAGTCTTCTCTGTATTCGCTGATGTGTGTGGATGCACGAGTGTGTTTCCACCACTGCCAAGCCGTCCGGGCAAAAATGCATAGCTGTGTTGCGGCTTGTGTGCAACACTGAGTTTAAATGGTTCTCAACCGAGAGGAAATACTCGAGCACATCGTTTCAAATCTTCAATAAAAAATTCAATTCAACTATCAATTACCCACTCATCGCTTCATTAAAACACCTTTTGCCAAATAACGCAAAAAATAAAACACTAAAAAACCAGCGAGATCGAAATTTTAAAGTCATTCCATCAAAAATCCAAGGAAATTTTACCCAGAATAAAAAAAATACGACCCATTTTGCCCCGCTAGTTATCGAAATACATCCAAAAACAATTTTCCCCCGAATTAAATTTTCATTTCGCCGAGAAAACGGATGGTCGTTTTCGCTGTTTTTTATCTCCCCATCTCAAGCTGTCAACAATGATCTCATCATTTTCTCACCCAATTGACCCTGAAAAGTGCTAAATTCTCCGCGTTTACGCATTCGCGACGACAAGATCCAGGAACAATTCACTGAAATATTTTCCTCAATCATTCCTGCATCAGACCCAGGAAAAAACCAATTCAAATGAAGAAATATACAGATTAAATGATTTTAATGATGATTTGTGGAAAAAAATCACCAAAAAATTCTGCATTCCGGTTAGACCATAATCACCGAAATTCCATCGAGCCAACCGCTGAGTGTCACTTTCCTCGTTCCATTATACGCCTCATGACGCACACAACAATTCCTTGGCGTCGGGGACTGGACACGGATGTGTATATAGATTCCCCTCCCCCCTTCCACATGTGTATTAAAACACACTGGATGCGGCGGCGGCGCATTCGGGGCTAGAGAGTGTGCCGAGGCGAGTTATAATGCGCGAAGGCATTGCCGGTTTAGCAGAAGAGGTATAGACGGTGACCTTGTCGCCGGCAATTCACCCCGTCTGACTCCCTTTACCCCACTGTATACCCGGGCGTTCCTATTCTGGCGTGTGGTTGCTCTCCGGGGTCTGCCCCCTCCCCTCCCCTCCCCCTCCCCCCCGACGGGAGCCTCATGGAGGAGTGAGAGTATGTGCAGCCACATTCAGCCACCAGAAGCAATCCAGCAGCCATCGAGTGTTGCACCAACTCTCGCTCTCCCTTCCTACCCCCACTCTCAGTCCCCCTCGGAACCCCTTCCGCGATGCCA